TTTGAGAAGCTGAGGAGGAACGCACGCTGAGTGTACTTGAAGGTTGGACTCAGGCCGACGCTGGTAATGAGGCTGGGACTGATGAGGAGATTCTGTTGGCTCCCCAGACAGGAAATGTTGGAGAGAGTTTGGGAGCTAAAGATGACTCGGAAGACGTTGCCCCACGGAGGCGACGAGGCACTTAGACTTTTATGGTCTTTTTGGGTTTTTTTTTTTTGTTTTGTGGTTTTTTTTTCTGTTTTTGACTCTTTTCGGTATTTTGGCTTTGGACTTTGGATGTATGTTTTATTTGGACTTGGACTCTACTTTCTTTAGTTTTCTGCTTTTATTTTTCTTGGTCTCTTTAGTTTTCTGCTTGACTTTGGACTGTTTGACTTTGTTGCTTTCAATTGGGCATGTCATTAAGCTTTCCAAGCATTTTCCAACTTCATTTATTCAAGCTCTGATTTTTGCCTAAGCCGCCCTCTCGGGTTACTTAGCGAAAAGCTAACCCACTTTTGCTAATTTAAGCTCTAATTTTTGCCTAAGTCGCCCTTTCGGGTTTTCAACTTAGCGAGCTACCCATTTTTGCCTAAGCCGCCCTTTTCGGGTTTTCGACTTAGCTGGTTTTCCTTTCTTTTTTTTTCATCTTTTTTTATTATCGGCAAAGAAGAAAGAATTATGAAATGCTTTTTTTTTTCAATGTTTAGACCGCGCCCAAAGAGGGCTGCCTACATATCTCCGATATATAATTTCTTTTTTCCAAAGAGATTCAGGTCTAATGTAGTTCATTTTACATTATGGAAATGATTACAATTTACACAAAATATCTTTTTAACTGATCTAAATTACATGGATTTGTGAATTCCAACCCATCCAAATCAGTCAAGATGACGGCTCCGTGACAAGAATCTTCTTCAACACATACGGTCCAGACCCAATGAGGAGAACTTCCCGTGGATCTATTGGGACCGGTTTGTCTAATTTCCTTCAGAACCAAACAACCTTCTTCTAGTTAACCTTCTTCCAGTTTCCGGTCTTTGACCCTCTTATTAAAATGTCGTGCCATTCTCCTCTGGTAGACTTGAGTTTGGTGGATTGCTTGCAATCGCTTTTTGTCCATACCCAAAAGTTGCAAGTGATAATTCTTAGTCCAATCCACTTCGCTGATCTGGCTTTCCTGAATGATCCGTGCCGACTGAACTTCCAGCTCAATAGGCAATACTGCTTCCATACCATATACTCAAGAATACGGAGTTGCTCCGGTGGGCGTTCTGATTGAAGTCCTATATCCCCATAGAGCATTCGGTAACTGTTCATGCCAGGCTTTGTGCTTCTTAATTGTCTTTTGCAAAATAACTTTATGCCTTATTTGCAAGCTTCTACAGCCCCGTTTTGTTTGTGGACGATAGGGTTGAGGACTTATGATGTTGGATTTCGGTCTCTTTCAACAAAATTACAAAATTCACCCTGGAAAGTGAAAGCTCCATTATCCGTGGTGATCTCGAAATGGCGTTCTGTCCTGCAAAGATGTTTGGTTACGAACGAAACTGTTGTTACCTTCTTGGCTTAGAATCGAATAAGAGGTTGCCTCGATCCAGCTTAGTGAAATAATCTATTAGCAACCAAAATGAACTGTTGACCGTTGGGAAGGCTTCGGGTTGAGATTTTTCCGATCACGTCTATGCCCCAGGTCGCGAAAGGCCATGGTGAAGTGATAGGATTTAGATTGACCGGAGGCTGTTTTTGCAATTTAGCAAAAAATTGACATTCGTGGCACTTCTGCGCATGCCTCACACAATCTGCCTTCATGGTTGACCAGTAATAACCAAGGTTCGTGATTTTTCGAGCCAAGGCTATCCCATGCATGTGTGGGCCAGACTCCCTGTTATGTAAGGAATCCATGATGGTTTGAGCTTCTTCCTCATCAACGCACCTTAGGTGCAGGCCATTCCAACTTCTTTTGTACAGAGAACTCCCCCAGTAAGGAAATATCGGGATGCTAGTTGTCTCAATGTCCGTTGATCAGTTTTGGTGGATCCCTCTGGGTGAACTTCGTTCTGAAGATAATTCCGTATATCCCAATACTAGGGCTTATCGTCGACCAAATTCATGATATGTGCTGGCTGTTTCTGTAGCCGCACTGTCAAGGGTCGAATGATTCGATCCTCTTTTCCTCTTCTACATTGACCATGGAGGCTAGAGTGCTAGAAGCATCTGCAAACGTGAATTTTTGGCTCGTTGGCAAGTAATGGAAGGATAAACCATCAAATTGTTGAACCCAATTCATCCAAGCGTTGTAGGTAAGGAACCAACTCCTTCTTTAATTTTCCATTTCCTTAAAAGCTGGGAGACATAGTTGGAATCTCCGAAAAACCTTGAGGATTCTTTATCTCCTTTGCCAAAGGCTGCTTCTAACCCTCTTATTGCAAGCTTCATTACTCGGCTTCATTGTTTGAGTGCAGTTTGAAATCCAATTTGACTGCGAATTGGGATGTATTCTCCACAGGAGGTTGTAACACTTCCAACCCCATTTCCATGTAATTCGGAGCTCCATCGAAGTACAATCTCCCAGACTTCACTTTCTAGCGTAAACAAGTCCTTCATCAGGAATTTCCACTTCCAGGCATTTGGTCTCCGACCGGTAATTCAGCTAATTGATCAAGTAAGCATCCGCCTTTCACGGTCCTTCCGTTTGTACAAACTTAGGTCAATAAGCTGCAAGACTGATACCCACTTTGCCATCTTACAGTCAAGACCGGCCTCTCCATAAGGAATTTCAAGGGGCTTTCGAACTCAGAAATAACGTACGTAGTGTAAGAACGACGAGAGGGT